AGGTGTGAGTTCTGAGTGAAGACCTTGCCACACTCAGAACACTTGTAGGGCTTTTCTCCAGTGTGGATGACCTGGTGGGTGTTGAGGTTTGAGTGAGAGCTGAAGACCTTGCCACACTCGTTACACCGGTATGGTTTCTCCCCTGTGTGAGTTCTCCGGTGAATCGCGAGGCTCGAGGTCTGGCTGAAGACCTTGCCACACTCGTTGCACTTGTATGGCTTCTCTCCAGTGTGGATCACCTGATGGTTGGTTAGATTGGAGCGCACGCTGAAGGCCTTGCCGCACTCAGCACACTTGTACGGCTTCTCTCCGGTGTGAGTTCTGCGATGACTTGTTAGGTGTGAGTTCTGAGTGAAGACCTTACCACACTCATTGCACTTGTAAGGTTTTGCTCCCGTGTGATGTCTCTCGTGCACCAAAAGATAGGAGCGCCTGAAGAAAGCCTTGCCACACTCAGCACACTTGTACAGTTTCTCTCCAGTGTGGATTCTGCGATGATGTGCGAGAGAGGAGGTGTAACTAAAGACCTTGCCACACTCATGGCATCTGTAAGGCTTGTCCCTAATGTGTGCTTTGTGCCTGGGAATGAGCAATGAAGAATAAATAAAGTCATTCCCGTATCCTTCCAGCGTTCTGACACTGGAAGGAACGCTTTGAGGTGGTAAAGCTGAAGAACCACTGTGCACAGACTTCTCCTCTTCACCACACTCACTTTTCCCTGCAGACTGAAGCAGCTGGGGTGTAGACAGGCCTGGCGGAAAGTCCAGCCCAAGCCAATCACTCTCAAGCTTGCTCCCTGCATCCTGTCCACCACCACCGTCTCTTCCACCCATGTGGCTTCCTTTATGGATCATGGGCACTCCCTTACAATCTCCTTCACCATCTCTCCACGGAAACTGGAAGCCATGTGCCTTTCTCTGGATGTCCCTGAAGGAAAAGGCTTCAGCATCGTGGTGCTCATGCCTTCCCAGCGTGGCTTTCTGGAATCTCTCTTCTATACTGCTGTTTCTTTTTGAAGGTGATTTTTTAATTATGTGTTTAGGAGAGAAATCTACAAGATATAAAGTTACGTGTTTCCCATTAACAAAAGAAATATTCATATTGAAAAAGATGCTATTATTGCAAAAGTAATATTTGTATTAAGCAGACTTTTAAAACTTAAGAATAACCATAAAATTTACCCCAGATGGGGGTGAGGGTCTGTAATCCCAATGACTCAGGAGGCTGAGGCAGAAGGATATCAAGTTCAAAGCCAGCCTGGGCAATTTAGTGAGACTGTGCCTCAGAAAAAAAAAATTTAAATGCCTAGAAAAGTAGTTCGGTATTAGTGCATTTGCCGACCATATGTGAGGCCCTGAGTTCAATCCCCAGTAATTAAACAAAAACTTGATTAATAATACATAGACCTTGAGAGGGTGAAAAGATAAACTTAGATCTCTGAAGAATAGAATGGTAAGTGGGAGAAGTTTGAAAATTTCCTGTAAGAGCTCACAGCATAGAAACTTTTGTTTTCCCACAGAAATCTTTCACCCGTGGAGTTTCTCAGACAACACTGGGCGACAAACCTTCTACTGGGCACATGTGAGCTCTTACCTGGGTTCACACCTTTGACACAGCCCCACCCACCAGGATTTCTTGTTATTTTCACTTCATTCTTCAAGGTCCAGGGCTCTTGCCCTTCTTCCAACATGGAAATAACACCAAGGTCAGGAAGGAAGATCCCTGTTTATAAAAAGAAAGGAATCCCATCTGTTGTGGCTTCTCCAGAATCCTAGTCCTATGAGTACATGAGAAAGGATGTTATAGAGGGAGCCCAAAAAACATTTCACAAATCCACCCATTCGTTGCCTCCTTCTGACAACTGAGGGAATACTTTAATATAAGACCTCTAGCTCTTCCAAAAACTAATAAATCAAAAGCAAAGCAGCACAATGACTGTTTATTTGCAGCAACTCAAGAGGCTGAGGCAGGAGGATCACAAGTTTGAGGCCAGCCTGGGCAACTTTGTGAGACCCTGTCTCAAAATAAAACTTAAAAAAATGTCTAGGAATGTAGCTTAGTGGCAGACCTAGCATGTGCAGAGCTCTGGACTTGATTCCCAGTACCAGGTGGGTGGAAGGAAGCAAGCAGAGCTAAATCTTCCATAGGGCCTGGGCTATCGGTCAGTGGCAGAGTGCTAGCTAAGCATGTGAGGGGCCAAGGGTTTCATCCCCAGCACTACCATAAAAAAAAAAAAAAGTCTGCCATCTGTGCATACCTGAGCTGTGTAACCACCCAATAATGTATCATATTATGTAGGCAAAACATATACAGAAATGAAGGAGAAAGGACCAGCACAATGGTGCATGTGTGCCTGTAATTCCAGCTAATTGGGAGGCTGAGGCAGGACAGCCTCAGCAACTTAGCAAGGCCCTGTCTCAAAAAAGTAAAAAGCACTACCATCTAGCTAAGTGGTACAACACCCCTAAGTTCAATCCCTAGTACGAGAGTGGGGGGGAGGGAGGGAGGGAAAGAGGGAGGGAGGGGGGAAGGTTGGGCTGTAGCTCTGTGGCAAAGTGGTAGAGTGCTTGCCTAGTATGTGCAAGGCTGTGTGTTTGATCCCCAGCACTGTAAAAAAATAAAAAGATAGGTTAAGAGTCATAGAAAATAGCTGGCCATGGTGGTGCATACCTGTCATCCCAGTAACTGGGGAGGCTGAAGCAGAGAATTTTAAGTATGAGGTCAGCCTCAGCAACGTAGTAAGACCCTGTCTCAAAATAAAAAGTCAAAAAGATAGGGTTATAGCTCAGTGGCCAAATGCTCCTGGGTCCAATTCCTAGTGGTGAGGAAGAGGAGGAGGAGAGATGGTTAAAGTCCAGAGGCTGCTTTAGGAAGATTTTCATTTCTGGGTCAACAGAGCTTCAACTTTACTCAGGTAATAAGAAGCTCCCCCGAGGCAAGTGAAGGAAAAATGCAAAGGTACACAGGACAGATCCAACCTCAGGAGGGATCACGCTCACCCAGGGAGACCAGGTTCCTGTAGGTCTCCAGCATCACGTCCCTGTACAAAGCCCTCTGTGTGGGGTCCAGGCACTTCCACTCCTCCTGGGAGAATTCAATGGCCACATCCCTGAATGCCAACTGTCCCTAAAATGAAAAATACGTTTCATCAAGAAGACATGCAGATAGTTATCATCTCCACATAAAATGGGATGAGAAGAGAAGTGTAAGAAATCTCCTGGAGTGAGCATACCAGACCCAAGCTGGGATGCTATGAAAAACACACTTGACCTCTATATTTGCAGATGCACAATTACTTGGGATCTCTGAAATGATAGGGAGGCTACAAACTCCTAGACACTTCAGGACAGGGACTGGTCACTGGAGAGATCCAGGCAGGATTTGTGGATTAGAACTTGCAGCCTTACTCCCAGAGCACTCATGAGGGGACAGGGGCTGAAGGTTCAGTGGCGCACCAATGGCCAATGATATCACCAATCAGGCCTGGTCATGATGCCTCCATAAAACCCCCAAAGGACAGGATTTGAAGAACCTTCCGGCTAGCTGAACATGAGAAGGGCCCCAGAGGAGGGATCTCCTAGCGAGGGGACGGAAGCTCCATGTGCCTTCTCCCACACCTTGCCTTATGCACCCTCCGTTCGGCTCTTCATCTGCATCCTTGATAGTCCGTGGCAGGGTAAGTAAGCGTATCACTCAGTGCTGTGAGCCGCTCCAGGAAATTAACCAAACCTGAGGAGGGAGTCCTGCAAACCTGTCACTCAGAACCACAGGCATCTGAGGGACTGGGTCTGAGGGACTGGGCCCGCCCCCTGAGGGACCTGAGGCTACTCGTCAGAATTCAATTGAATCAGGGGACACAGAGCTGGTTTCTGCTGCAGAATTTCTTGCTGGTTGTGTGGGAAAACCCCTCACATGTGGAGTCACAGAAGCTTTCTGGGTGATGGGTGTACAGTAGGAGAAATTTAAATTTGCTTTTACTATATCCCCGCACATATTAAAGTACATTTGAGCAACATTATGTCTCCCTAATTCTGTTCCAGTTTATTTTTCCACAAGAGGTTATACCCTGTATGTATACCCTGTATGTATACCCTGTAACACCAAGGTCAGGAAGGAAGATCCCTGTTTATAAAAAGAAAGGAATCCCATCTGTTGTGGCTTCTCCAGAATCCTAGTCCTATGAGTACATGAGARAGGATGTTATAGAGGGAGCCCAAAAAACATTTCACAAATCCACCCATTCGTTGCCTCCTTCTGAAAACTGAGGGAATACTGTATATCAGTGTGGATTTCTCATTTTTGTGGATAATGTAAGAAGCACATAAATAAAAAGCCAGAACATGGCCGGGATGTGGCTCAGTGGCAGAGTTCCTGCCTAGTGTGGATGAGGCCCTGTGACAGATCCCCAGTACCCGCACAAAGCAAAAGCCCAATTCAGGCTGACCTCCATGGAAGCATTAGTTATGACATCTGCCACACCATGTGATGTGCACTCAACACCTAGGTGAGCTATGGCATGAGCCCTGTCTTCAGAGACGATAGTCCACAGGGGCTTCCAAAAGTCAGAATCTAAAACTGTGAAAACAGCAACAGCAGTGCCTGAAGCTTCTAAATGCTGGCTATTATGACGTGTGTGTGTGTGTGTGTGTGTGTGTGTGTATGTGGATGTGGGTGGTGCTGGGTGTGTGTGAACCAGGGCCTTCAGCATACTGGGCAGGCACTCAATCACCGAGCCACATCCCAGCTACACACAGGGTGTTCAACACGCCTTCCGTGAAGTAACACCTATGGCGACCTAAGAAAGATTCATTCCCATCTTCCTGAGGAAACAACTGTGTCACAGATACTGAAGAAACTCTGCTCAAATCAAAGAGCTGAGCATGGAAGAACGAGTACCTGACCCAAATATCTAAGAACTGGAACTAAACCTGAAGAATTAAATAGTTAAGTAGCAGAGCATCAGAAGAGAATAAATAGTACGGGAAGTGAGGGACGTAGAAGCAAGTTCAAGCAGAGCAATGTGAACTTCTGCATGCATGCACATGTAGCCACATAAGACTCCCATTCCTACCAGTGTCAACTTGTGAACATGAGAGGGGTCAGAGAATGCAAGACCACAGAAAATACGATAAATCAGGTAAAAACATACAGCTGTCTTTGATAAACAGCATACACTTGCACATCCATGTATGCAAGACAAGCATTTATATATATATATATAAAGCATATATATATATATATATATATATACATTTAAATCAAATGAAATAACAGGACTTGTCTCTCAGTGATAATTGTCCCAATACTTTTCATCACCACTATTCTCACATGCATGTTGGCATGTTTGGGACAATAAAAATATATAAATCATCCTGAGTTTTGTTTACAAACACTGTCCATTAAGCCATTAAGACAGGACTACACAGGTTGGGGGTGTAGTCAGTGATAAGAGTGCTTGCTTAGCATGGGCAAGGCTTGGGGCTCAATCCCTAGTACTGCCCCCTCCAAATAGGGGAGAACATGTAACAAACAAACAAACAAAAAGAAAGAAATTTGAACTCTAATCCCTATGAGTCACTCACATTCAAAACTAAGAAAACAACTTCATCAATTTAAAATTAGATATTTAGGCAATTATCAATAGAATTTCATGCCTGACTAGTAAAATTGTGACATAACAATTAGGAAACACTACTGTTACATATCAATTTAACAGACTAAAATAAGAAAATGTATCACCGCAAAACATACTTTCAGAAATCAATGGATCTTTAACAATCAGGACAAAAAGTAAATGTGAAGAAAGAAGTGACATTAAGCAGGAACAATTTACCCCACAGCACAATCAGCATTTCCTCCAAATAAAGGCAGAGAAGAGATGGACTAGCAGCCAGGGCTTTGTCTCGTCACTATCAGGCAGGCTGCATGAGCATGGGCCATAAAGAGGAAAAAGGTGGAAACAAAAGAGGTAAAGAAGATAGCAGAGATCTGGATCTGTTAGAACAGATGACATGACTGCAACACAGAAATACTGTACTGCAGGAGCTGGTAACAGTGGAAGACAGACTTCCTTCCTTAGTAGCCCTTATTAACACACATGTGCACATGCAAAACATCCTGCACCTCCTTCGGCAAAGATACCAGAGCACCAAATTAAAAGACTTACCCAAAGGATTTAAAGTGAGCATACTACAGTGACATGGCCGTGTTAATGTTTATAGCAGCTCAATTCACAATAGCCAAGCTATGGAACCAACCTAGGTKCCCTTCAACAGTGAATGGATAAATAAGCTGTGGTATATATACACAATGAATATACCAGTCATAAAGAAGAAGGAAATTATGGCATTTGCCAGTAAATAGATGGACCTAGAGGCTATCATGCTAAGTAAAATAAGCTAATCCCCCAAAGCAAATGTTCTAATATGCAGATGCTAACACACAATGAGAGGGAGGGAAAAATAGTAGTTCACTGGATTAGACAAAGGGAAAGGAGGTGGGATGAGAACGGGAAAGACAGTAGAATGAATCGGACATCACTTTCCTATGTTCATATATGAATACGTGACCAGTGTAAAACTCCACATCAAGTACAACCACAAGAAAGGGAAGTTACACTCCATATCCGCATGATATGTCAAAATATACACTCTACTGTCATGTGTATCTAAAAAGAATTTTWAAAAAAACAAGACTTCCAGGATCTCCCTCATGGTGACACAGACCAACAAGGATCTAAAAGCCACGTGGATTCAGTGGTAAACCACGTAAGAGGCTGGGATTCTCACTGCAGGGCCAGATAGACAGTTTGTGGTCCCTGCCTACTGAAGCCTTGACCCTCTCAATTTCTCCTGGGGCAGGGGAGCATCCACCTAACATAACTTTGGGGGGAACTGCCTGAAAGACTGTGTTCTGCCTTCCATGAACCTAAGCAATAGAGACAGGCATCAGGTAGGGAAAGGCACGAAGACAGAGAGTCCCCATTAACCATGTCTAGAGTGTCCCTGGTGGAGACAAGGTGGAAATCCAGAGGATGGCTGACTGGGACACCAGAGAGGGCACAGAACAGCAGGAGGCAACAGGAGAGCCCTGGGTAGAAACTGCAAAGCTTCTCCTACAAGACTGCAACAAAAGCTCAGAGATGACAGATCCCCCGCCTCTAGCACAGACCACTTCCCTCAAGGAAGCCAGACACCAAAACCTGCAAGGTGATTAATTTTCAAACTGCTGGAGTCCAAGCACAAGACCACCAGCCACACAAACAGAAAGAAAACATGGCCCCCATAAGCAGAAAATTAAATAGCCACAAACCGACACTAAAAAATTGGAGATGTGTAAACGACCAAAGAATTAATTCCGAGAGTTATAACAGTGCTCCAACGAAATAAAAGCAGAAACACAAAATCAGAAAACCAATGAATGGATAAAATGAGAATATTAACAGAAACTATGAAGCTGGGCAGGTGGCGCGCGCCTGTAATCCCAGTGGCTTGGGAGGCTGAGGCAGGAAGATTTTGAGTTCAAAGTCAGTCTCAGCAACTTGGTGAGGCCATAAGCAACTTAGTGAGACCTTGTCTCAAAATAAAATAAAAAGAAAGGGTTAGGCATGTACTCGGGGGTTAAGCGCTCTTGGATTCAATCCCTGGTACCAAAACCAACCAACCAACCAACCTACAGGGAAAAGCAGAGCAAGAAAGAATGACAATGAAGAAGGGCAGAGTGTGGAGGCCTATAAGCCCAGTTGCTTGGGAGGCTAAGGCAGGAGGATTAGAAAGCTTGAGGCCAGCCTCAACAACTTAGCAAGACCCCATTTCAAAAATTAAAAATTAAAAAAGGAGAGGTCCCAAGGGACTCACAGGATACCCCCATATATACTCCAGAAGAGGAGGAGAGAGAGAGGTGGAGAACCTATGTGACAACAATGATGGCCAACCATTTCCAAGATATCTGAGATACAGATATATATAGCCAATAAGCTTCAAGATACAGGGTGACATGAGCAGGGTCCTGGGTTCAATCTCCAAGCAAAAAGTATCATCTTGCAACCAAATTTTCTTCTCTATCTAGAATAAATGCAGAAATTAGTAGCACAAGAAAAATGAAAATCCACAAATATAAATGCAAATTAAATAACTTCTTATGTGGATGTCCCAGGGGTATTCTACCACTGAGCTACCTCCCCAACCTTTTTTTTTTTTCCTTTTTCTTTGAGATAGAATCTCACAAATCACCCACAAATCATCCTCCTTCCTCAGCCTCCTGTGTCATTGGGAATACCAGCATGCATCACTGTGCCCAGCTAAATAACATTTGCTTAATCAGTCAATGAATCAAAGGCAAAAGGGGGAACTAAAAACAAGCGAAAAAAAAAAAATCATTGTTCTATGTGACCACCATTATTCTGATGTCAAACTCAGGCAAAGAGAAGGAAAAAAACACCACAGATCAACAACTCCAATGAATACTGATGAAATTCCTCAAAAAAAACTGGCAAATCTAAATGTATAGGACACTGAAAGGATTAGACACTGTGACAGGTGAGATTCATTTCTAGGAACAAGGGTGGAGCAACTAATAAGGTCAACTGCACAACACATGACACTGACAGAGAGGACAAAACGCACGGGACCAGGTCCACAGATTCTGAAAACACCTCAGAGCCAACACCTCTCCTGGCACAARCACTCAAGGACCAGGCACAGAGGGAACCACAGGACAGTAAAGTTAGCTATGATTTCTTGGATACAGCATCAAAAGTACTGGCAAATGTAAGGACTTACAGCTGAAACACTGTTGTACAACAAAGGACGCTGTCAAGAGTGAAAACACCTAATTATATTGTGTAGAGGAGAACCAACACAAATCTGAAAATAAAAAGATAACAGAGGGGGGATCCAGAAACTGCACATGAACCTCTTCTGATATATACGATCAGCAACTTTAAGCTGAATCAGGGAGCCTGGGATGTAGGTTAGTTTTAAAAGTGCTTGTCTGGCAGGCACAAGGCCCTGGGTCTGACCCCACAAACAAATGACTGAAGAAACAAATAAGACTGAGAGATAAGACAGATGTAGTGGCACACACCTTTAATCCCAGCAGCTCTCAGGCTGAGATGGGAGGATGGCAAGTTCAAAGCCATTCTTAGCAACTTAGCAAGGCCCTAAGGAATTTAGTAAGACACTGTCTCCAAATAAAAAAAGGGCTGGGGAATGTGGTTCAGTGATTTGAGTTCCCTGGGTTCAATCCCTGGTACAAAAAAAAAAAAAGAAAAAGAAAAACGAAAGCTTCACCAGGCACAGTGGTACACGTTGGTGATCCCAGCTACCTGGGATGCTGAGGAAGGAGGATTGCAATTTTGAGGCCACTGTGGGTAACCTAGTGAGACCCTGTATGGAGAGCACTGGGAATATAGCTCAGAGGTACAGTACCCCTTTGTTCAATCCACAGTTCCAAGGGGGACACTGTAGAACATCTTTGATCACTGTCTCACTATCTTTCTATTCCCAGTCACTGAGATTTTGGAATCCAAAACACTGTCTCACTGGATTATCTATAAAAGCGATATATTAAGCAGTGCATATTTCCCTTTATAGTTCTCATTTTCTGGCATTTAAAGGCATCTGTGCGCATTAATATGTGATTTCAAAGTGCAGCTTTTTTCACCCACATCGAGAGGCAGCTGACAGTGTATCCAGATATGCCCTAATGATCCCTGCTGCCCAACAGGACTGACACACAAGCCCTCACAGGCCCACAACCCTGCCAGGCTGTGAAATCCTTCCCAGGAATACAACAGTGGTGCCTCCTCATGGGTTCCCTGCCACAGGTCTCAGTGGGATGGAATCTAAGCGCAGAGGATGGGGTAAGGGAGGCCCAGGGGAGTGCAGGCACACTTGACAAGCAGGAGGCTGCAGAGTCACGTGAGGCCAGCAGCTCCCAGGCCCAGCACTGCACAGGGGACTCAGGACCACCTGACAGCATCACTGTACCTCAGTGACAGCCATTCCTGACTCCTTTTCTTTCCTCCTCCTCTTCAGGGCTATTTCCTCAGGTAACACGAGTCTTTACAAGTCAATCCTGGAAGGAGGAAACATACTGTTTAAGGCTCAGAATCATCACACCTTTCCTGTGCCACAGCCACACACACAGGTGGACCCCTGCATGTGAGAAGATGGTCCCTGGCTGCCCACCCTTCCAGGCTGACCCAGGCACAATACACCCCTGGAAGAAGGCCCAGAGGAGACATCTCACTCCTTTCTTTGGGCCTGGTCTCCCTCCTAGTGAAGCCCACACACAGGTTGCAGCAGTGGGGGGCTGGGCAGCACTAGGCTCCTTCAGGGCACAGTCTGGCTCTCACCAAACTGAACCACAGCGTAGCCCCCCTCACCTCTCCTGGGATCTCAGACTGATCTCAGACCCCAGGATGGAGGACACAGAGCCAGGTAAACAGCTCTGGATGTGGTGGTGAATGCCTGTAATCCCAGTGACTTGGGAGGCTAAGGAAGGAGGATTCAGCAACATAGTGAGGCCCTGAACAATTTAGCAAGAACCTGTATCAAAATAAAAAGGGCTGGGGATGTGATGTGCCTAAGTGGTTAAGTGCCCCTATGTTCAATCCCCAGCACCATAATAAACAAATAAATAAATAATAAAAGGACTGAGTACTCAATGCTGCACACAGTAGAGAATCAACCTTACTTATTAAGGCTGTGCACCAGCCTCACCCCATCAATGGGATGTCCAGTAGGTGGACAGACTGCTTGCAAAATGCCTCAGCACCCATGGGAAGCCAGCATTGAGCACCTCCTGGAGGGGCAGGCCCAGCCCACCACCCACCTTCTGGCTCTGCCCCTCTTGGAGCCTTGTTCTCACCAGGATCCAGACAATGGATGCTGAAGGAGCAGGAAAACACAGGCAGCACAGGCTGCATGGACCAGAGGTGGGGCAGGGTGTGGCTGGAGTGTGACTGGAGCTGGGGGTCACAGGAGTCTCCATGGAGCAAGTGATGTCAGAACAAAGACCTGAGGTGTTGGCCACCTGCAGCCCAGGGGCCAGGTAGAGGGACAGGACCCAGTGAAGGCCCTGAGGCTGGAGCAACTTCCAGCCAGGGAAAGGAAAGAGGCCATGTGGCTGAAAGTGAGCAAGCAGAGGACACAGCAGGAGATGAGGGCAGAGGCCCTGGGGAAGCAGAGCAGGTAGGACTGAGGTCTGACATTTCTACTCCACACCTAAATGAAGTTTAAAATCCATTTCCTCACCTGTCTTAGGTAAACAAACAGTTTATTCTTTATTTTATAACTTAAAACACAGTGTAGTATCTTCTATATTGTAGATATAGGCAGAGATGTTCACCTAAGCCCCAGGAAGTACAAGACCACCCTACCTGAAAAACGTTGAAGACTACACGGAGCCTATCTGGCTGTTCATCTGTATCCCTTATAACAAGTGGATAAACTTTATCAAGTGTTCCCTGCACACTGGGTGTTGAACTAGAAAAGTAATAGAAGCTTAGCAGGGGTCATGGGAATCCAGGATGTATATCCAGTTGACTAAAGTCCAAGTTCCAACCTGATCACGCGACTGGCATCTAAACTAGGGGGCAGTGCTTCTATACTGAACCTTCAAATGGTGGCATCTGATCCTATCTCCAGGCAGTGAATGCCAGATCTCAGTTAAATTATAGAACACTAAGTTGTTGTCTTAAGGAGAACTGCTTATGAATGGGAAGAAATCCCCACATATTTTATGGTACTGGGAATTGAATTGACGTGTGCTCTACCACTGAGCTACCCCCAACCCACAACCCTTTTATAAATTTTCAGACAGTCTGCCTACATTGCCGTCGTGGCCTTGACCTTGAGAGCCTCCTGTTGTCCTGAGTAGGAATTCTGGTTTTTCTTCGTTATCTCACACTCACCCACACTACACTATCCCAGGAAAACAGAAGAGATGACCCCAAACTGAATGGGTCATGACCCTGCCTTCTGGCTGAATATGGAAGTAATTTGTACCAATAGTTTTAAAATAGACAAATCCAGACAGTTTTGCAATTGTTATCCTCATGTAAAGACATAATTTAAGCACAAATTTTAATTTGTTGAATTATAAACATAGAAATCATTACACTTCAGCTTCACCATGCCCATCTAATCAAGTCACCATCTGCACCCGGGTTCCCATCTTCATTGCTGCTTCCCTCCCTCCCTCTCATCATCTCCACTCTCACCTCCACTCTGATTTCCTCMCCCATCCTGGGTCCTGCTCCCTTGGCTTTTCTCTCCTCTCCTGGTTTCTCCCCTTCTTCTCTCTATTCCTTCCCTCCATCTGATCTTCCCCATTCCTGCAACTCCCTTCACCTCCAGTCAGTCTTTCTGCCCAGTCTTTGTCCCCAATCTCCACAGATTTCTGCCTCTTTCTTCCCCATCTACAGGCTCCCTCTGCCCTGCCTGCTGCAGGCCCCAGTCCCCATGCTCTGAACACCCACATCCCTTCCTGAAGTGATCCTCCCTGGGCTCCCCTTGTCAGGTTACCCCTCTTCTTGTCCCAGTACCACAGTTCCCCTCTGCCATGCAGATTATCTGTTCTCTCCTCCCAGGCTCTGCCAGAGGTCCCTCCAGGTTTTATTTTTCCCTGAGTGGCTGTCCTTCACCTCTGTGGAGATGGCGATTCTAGATTTCTTCTCTCTGCTGCTTTATGGCTTCTTCTTTCACTCTTGTGCCCTCCCTCTGCAATCCCTTGCCATCTGTGTTTTCCCTTTTCTCTCATTTCTGGTCCATCTCTTTCTTCTGAGCCCTCTGCCCACCTCCAAAGGAGCACATATTCCCTGGGAATCTGGGGTGTGAGAATCCTGGAAGTCACCACACAGGCCCAGGTCGCCTCCTCCAGAGTGCAGGGTGACTATGGAGGGAAGACCTGCAGGGGAGTCACCTGGCTAAGGAGGACAGGTTCTGGGGAGGAGGACAGGGCCAGGAAGATAGGGCTGGGTGAGGGCAGAGCCTGGGGAGGGGGACAGGGTCAGGTGAGGACAGGGCCCGGTGAGAAGGACTGGCAGGGTCTGGTCAGGGGAGGACAGGCCCGGCTTGGCACCGGCTGGGCTGTAGACCTCAGTGGCCAGGAGGATCTGCGGAGGAGCGCGCAGGGCGGGCTGGCGGGCAGCGCCGAGGACCCGCGAGCAGGGAAGGCCACCGTCGGCGGGAGGGAGCGGCGCCAAGCGGAGCGTCCACGCGGCGGGGCTGGACACCTGTGGGACCCGCGCCGGGGCTTCAGGCCGACCCGGTTCTCCCGCAGAGACGGGACTGACTCGGGGTGGAGGGCGCGGTGCGGGGACGCGGAGGTCTGTTGGGCCCCGCGTCCCGGCCACGGGCGCGCAGGGGACCGTGAAGCGCAGAGATCATAGAGCCAGGGAACTCACGAGCCAAGCTGTGACCTTCACTCCGCGATCCGCTTCCGGGTCTGCCGGGAGCCCCGCGCGCAGCCGGGAGGAAGCGTGGGCGGGACCGGGACGTGACGGGCAGGGCCGAGCCGTGGTCAGGAATCGCCAGTGGATCCGAGAGTCCAGGCGGGGCGGGGCCGCGTTGGTGGGCGGGGCGTGACGGAGGGGCGGGGCCGGGGAGGCCGCCATGGCGGGTGGGCGTGGCGCGTAGGAGGCGTGGCTGGCGGGATGCGGTGCCTGAGACCGCGGCGATGGGCGGAGCCTGACGCGGAAGAAGGGGCCTGTGGGAGGCCCTGGGGACCGCACCTGGGGCGGGCGTGACGGGCAGGGGGCGGGGCGAGCGGGAGGCCGCGCCTGGTCTGGGGCAGCCTGAAGCAGGGACCTGGCCAGGCAGGTCCTGTGGTCTTTGGAGACAGGGAGTCACTGAGCTGCTTAGGGCCTCACCGATGCTGAGACTGGCTTTGAACTCACAGTCCTCCTGCCTCAGCCTCCGGGAACCCCTGGGATGAGAGGCCTGCACCACCGCACTGGGCTCTTTTGTGCATGTTTCTAAAACCACTGGCCTTATCCTGGGCGTTGGAAGCCTGACCTCCCCCGGAGGCTGAGGAAACTGAGGTCTGCATACGGGTGAGGGGGCAGGATTAACTAGGAGCGGCCACTGGATCTCCGTAATTCCCAGGTTTAGAAATTAAGTCACTTATAAAACAAAACAACAACAACAAMAAAAAAACCCAAACAGGAAACCGGGCGTAGTGTCACATACCTTTAATCCCAATGTCTYTGGAGATTGAGGCAGGAGGATTGCAAATTCAAGRTCAGCCTCAGCAAATTTGATGTGCACCGCCATTTAGCAAGACCCTGTCTCAAAATTTTAAAAAAGAGCCGAGTAAGTGGCTCAGTGGTAGAAGTGCACCCCGGTTCAATCTTCACTACAGCAAAACAACCACAAGGACAGAACAATAACAATAAAATACTGAAATAAAGGAAACTTTGTAAAGGGTGAACAAGGGAAAGACATGGGGCCAACTCTGCCTGGTAGCTCAGTTCGCTTAATCCTGGAGTACAAGGAAGGTCACATTGGTCTGTTTTTGTTATTGTTGTTGTTTGTCAGAATATCAAGGTTGATGTCATCTAGTCAATAGATAATATTTCAAATATACTCATAAGTCTCTAGCAATATTTTACCTTGGCCTTATTTAGTCTAAATAAAATATGTTGCAGAAAAACCAGCCTCTACCTCAGAGCAAAGCCTGTCCAAGGAAGGGACATCACCTTTGTCCTTGGAAAAACTCACAGAGCACTCCTAGGCACATTCTGTTAGACCAGGACGCAAGAAAAGACCACTGACTCCAATTAAAATCAAATTAAAGCAAGCTTATTATTTCGACCGGCCGGGCTGCCTTTCCCTCCCAAAACAGCGGGAACAAGACAGCCCCGAGGCTTCTTTGTGGCCCAGTTTTATAGCCCAAAAAGTTACACAAGGGGGGGTTACAGATAACAACACTCTGAGGAGCATAACACAAGTTTNGTCATTGTCCGGCCAGGGAAGGCCAGAATTTATGAGGCGTCACTAAGGTTTAGGAAAGGGTTGTTATCTGGTCAGGGAAAACCGGACCTGGTTGAGTTCAGGGCACGGGCAGGCATTCCAAGTAGGTTCAGAATTTGCAGTAATTTATAGTAAAGCCGAAATTATCTTTTCATGGTTTTATGGCGAGATGCCCAATTTTAAGAAAGGTTGGGTCTATCAATTCCCACCCTGCTAAGTTGTTTATCTACAAATAACAGGAGAGATCTGCTGCGCCAGGTGTCCCTGACTCAGTCAGGCTAGGTGGGGATCCATAGCAACCCCCTAGCAGCCACCAATCAGCCTGAATCAGGGAAATACCTGGGATGTCAGATGACCCTCCCAGTAGTTTATGGTGGTTGATAACATGATGGGAAACCATGTAGTTCAGTACATACACCCCTCTTGGCTTAAACCAATCAGTTCAAATGAATACCCCTTTTATACTGACCAATCACCCCTCCCCAACTTGTTCCCGTCAGTGAATGTGCTAATCATGTTTTAGAGTTGTTATTTGATTTTCCTGCAGTGTGTGATGATTTGCTAAGAGATGCTATGATATATGTGATGTCCCTGCCTTCTCCAAAGAATGTATAAGACTGCTGCAAACCCTGGGCTCAGGGCCTCTCAGCGTCGCCAGTTGCTGTGTGCGCGTGGAGGACCGAGCTAGCTCGCAGTAAACACCTCTTTGCTGCTTACATCGATCTTGGGTCTCTGGTGGTCTTTTGGGGGTCCCGAATTCGAGCATAACACAGCAATGCACAGAGGCATGAAATAAATTCAAATGTTGAAAGTAAGTCGTACGTTTTCCCTACTCGTTCATCTTAATATTTAAAGTATCATTGAATTTGATGTATTTAAAAGATGGTGCTATTTTGTTCTTTCTCCCCCCCCCCCTTTTATTTTTATTTTTTATGGTGTGGGGGGGATTGAACCCTGGGCCTTCTACACTGTTAGGCAAGAGCTGTCCTGCTAAACCACATCCCCTAACTGCTGCTTTTATTTTTTTAATATTTATTTTTTAGTTGTAGTTGGACACAATACCTTTATTTTACAGGGTGCTGAGGATCCAATCCAGGGCCCCACAGATGCTAAGCAAGCGCTCTATCACTGAGCCTCAACCCCAGCGTACTCTAGCTTCTTAATCACTTTTTTTTTTAGCAGGCTGTCAGCAGAATGGCAAAACACTTTGTGTTGGCAAAGGAGGGTATTTTCCAATGGCACTTGTAAATGCAGGGGTAGCTGTTTTTCAGTGAGATTATTTAAGTATTATACCACAAATCTTATCTCAGGGGAGAGATCAGACAATCTGGCATATACAAAAAGCTATGCCTTAACCTTGCTTTTCCTAGGTTGCATTCAAGGGTTTGGAGCACAGGATGTTGTTAAGCCTAAATAGTCATTCTTATCTTTATCAGGATACTGTTGTGGCACATTAGTAATAAATCACTGGGTCAGTCTTATGGTGGGACAGGAAGCTTTATTGCTGGCGGCTGAGATGCAGAGATCTAAACCTCTTGCCACCCATTGACCCTAATTGAGGGTAAGGACAGGCTTATAAAGCTAAAAACCACAAAGGGGGTGGGGGAGGGGAAGAAGCAGCAATCATAATCACAAGATACATTTCATAAACGTGGAAAATTACCAGATTGTATACAAAAAATAGTCACATTCACATAAATTACGTTTTCACAAGGGAAGAAAAAGAAGAGACATGACAAAATCAAAACATTTTTCTGTTTTGATACTGTCAAAGCAGAAACTTCTGGTTAGCAGGTGAGGGGGGCAGATGTGGGTACCATTTGGGAAGGGGCCTGGGGAATTTGGGAGTATATAAAGTATACCTAAGTAGGGTATCTGAACAAAAGGGAGTAAGTCTGGTAACAAGATAACAATACCATCAACTTTAAATGAGTTCCCACTGTGGATTGTGCCCAGAGGCTCTTGCTGGACTTTTATCTTATGGTAGCAGTCATTGGATCTATGACGTCCTCACATTTAAACATACACAGGCATGAACTGATTTTCAGTGGAGGTGTTACAGGACTGGAACATGTTGGGAAACTGAGGCAGTGTGAAAGTGATAAGTCCTGCTTCTTCACTTATTGAAGTAGAATTAGAGAAGCACCCTGAGGCAAGCATATAAAGCAAGGCTTATTTAAAAAGGGGTAACATAGACTTCTCCCACCGGAGAAGGGGGTCACAGCTGGTATTCTGGTATTGTAAGGGTCCGGCGAAGTGTCGGAGGAAGAGACCACACAAGAGACTGGCTTCATGCAATTGGCATAGGGGATTTATTGATTCAGCATGTTGAGGTTCCAGGCTCACTCAGGAAGATAGAGCAGCCCAGAGCCCAGAGCAGAGGTCAAGCAGAGCTTAAGTACACTTTTTGGGGAGGGCGGGGGGCTTTGCATACATCAGAACAAGTCATCATGAGGCACGGGAAAATTTAACAACAACTCTGAGACATGATTAGTAGGTTCATTGGCGTCAACAGATTGAGCAGGGGTGCTTGGTCACTCCTAAGTGGGGTACACATTCAAACTGATTGGTTTTGGGGCCTGGATGCCCACGTGCTGAGCTACTCAGAGCCCTTAGCTATTAAACAGCCAGAGGATCAGGAGGAATATTTACTGGGCAGTTCCAGTATTGTCCTAACAGCTACAGGGATTACAGGTTCTGGGGGTAGCAGAGGAATTTTAACAATACCTAGTCTTTTACTTTTTAACTCAGGCCCTGCAGCTTGGAAACTTTACAATGCCTGGTCTCTTACACTTTAACTCAGGCTTTGTGGCTTAGAATCAGCTTAGAAATTTTACCTTTACAGTATCCCAAGACACGAGAGTGTTTTGCCTTTTTATATGTCCTAGGCTTCCTTTGTTCTCCTGCTCTCTTCCCCTCCCTCTCTCCTTCCTGTGTATGTGATTAGGCTTAGGAGATGCTCCAATGGGATGGCCAAAAGGCAAGAAGCAGATAGGTTGGAGGGGCCAAGCTGGGGTGTCATCAACAACTCCCTATTGGGAGGGACAATCCCTGAGACCGGTTTCCTTAGCAATAGGTTGGAGCAGGGGCAGGTTATCTTGAGAAGGTGGAGGAAGGGCGCTGAAGGAAGCCTCTGGATTCAATCCTTGCCTGTGTGCCTGTCTAATTCCAGTTCCAAAAGCCTCCCCTCAAACCCCAGTTCTTGTGATCAAGTCAGATAGTCTCTGTTCCTCCAGGACTTTATATACTTGAAAGGTAATATCAACTAACTGTAAGGTTTAAGTCAGTTGTTTGCTCCACTCACTGAAGCTTCTTCCTGATGTCTGGGGCACTCTATTCAAGGAAGGTCATATTGAACCATGGGGAGATTTTCAGGGACCTCTCGCAGAAGGGCCAAGAGGCAGATGCCTGCACATATAGGGACTCTCAGCTACCCCCCTGCCTTTCCTGAGATTCCCTGGCCTTGAGTTACAGCCAGGGCCTGGGGAATT